GTTGTAAGTTCTTTTACACAATCTAGCACACATTGTGACCTGATTGTGTAAGATTCTAATGCCTTTATTGTGGCTTCATCTCCGGTTACGATGGTCATGTGCTTACGTGTGTTACACCACCAGCCACCTTACAAAATGTAGCAACTTTTTGAAATTTTAAAATTAAATAAATTATAATTTGAAAACCGTTGACTTCACAGCTTAAAGTGTAAATGAAAATTTGTAACTTTGAAAATTGTCTATTTAATGACGTATTAATATACAGGTACTTCCATTTGAAAAACAAAAGTTATATTGCGTTAAAAAGTTTTAGATTGAAGTCCACATTGTTAACACTCTGTACAATGTATTGATATTTTGGTTCATTAGAATTCTTAACGGATCTGTGGTGATTAGAAAGACGTTTTGATTAGAAAGACGTTTTTTTGTATCTCAAACTGCTTGTCTTTGCTTCCACAATAAATTTTTAGATACTATGTTTTTAAGCAAAATTTTACTAAAATGGCGATAATCTGCCAACGTGGTATGTAAGGAAAAAAAACTTTACGGTGCATAATGCAGCAAAATTGGCTCATTTCATGAGCTAATGAAAAATGGGTAGTTCTATTTAAAAAAATACACTTTGATCTTGCCTCGCTTTTCTGAGACACTCTGTATCATATAAGATATTCTTAAAATGTGCGCACTATGTGCGCCAACAACTTTTATACGAAACTATTTTTTGAAAGTTCAACACCACCGGAAATAATGGACTCTATCGCACTAAAAAACCACCCTGTACAACATTACTATTTCTACTCATCATCATTCTGCACTTTTAATACAAAATTTAAAAAAATGACATGTTCCTTTTGGAACCGCATTTTGAAACTTAATGCCAAGGTGAGACTGAAACGTTGTAACCTGTTCCAGAAAAAATAACCGTTTATCACACCTCTAGTGTCCATCCCTCCAATCCATATAGCAAGATGGGAAATATGAAATTTGGTTGGTTTGTTCATTCACATTCACTGTTTGGGTAACATCCGAGGTATCCATAGTGATCAATTTTTTCTACCCAAACTCTACGAACATCTTTTAGAGTTTATTTTAATATACAGGGTGGTTCAAAATTGGCGTCATTCCTTTTAAGGGGTCATAGAAGCTC